TTGTCTATACTGGGTATACTAGCTAGTACCACTTAAATTCTCTGTCTCTCAGTCTCTCTGTCTCTCTGTCTGTCTCTGTCTCTCTGTCTCTGTCTCTTTCTCTCTCTCTGTGTGTGTGCGTGTGTGTGTGTATGTGTATGTGTGTAAGCTATGAAGTCTTTGCCATATTGCCAACCTAGTCTCCCTGATTTCCATTAAGTTCCTGTTAATGTCTGTATAATCTATCTTGATATCCATATGTTAAATTTTTATTAACCTGTATAGATTTTAATAAGTTGTTTTAATTATTCTAGAGAAATATTTCAACTCTATTCTTTATAGTTTCTTCATTTTCTATTGGATTGATTTTTGTTCTTTGTTAGTCTTTTCCTTCTGTTCACCTAGAATTTATCTCCTTTATTGTTTTATTACTTGGCTGTTTATTAAAATGTAATGTCAGGTCATTGATTCAAAACTTGTATGATACAGTAATTTTGAAATTAATTAATTTTTAAATTTTCTTTTATGTGTAAGCATGTTTTACCTGCAAGTATGTATGTGAACCATGTGTATTCCTGGTGCCCAAGGAGGTCAGAAGAGGGCATCAGATCCCCTGGAACTGGAGTTACAGATGGTTGTGAGTCACAAGTAGGTGCTGGGAATTGAACCCAGGTCCTCTGCAGGAGCAGTAAGTGCTTTAAACAACTGAGACATCTCTTCAGCTCACAATGAATTTTTAATTTACTAATTTAAAATTTTAATTTAAATAACTTCATCAGTTGTATCTCATAAATCATGTAATTTTATTTTTTAGTTGAAAATAGCTTAACTCCCATCTGATTTGTTCTTTGGCTTATGGGTTATTAAAAATTCCCTGGCAACTTCCAGATATTTTTGGCATTCTCGATAAGGTTTGTTGCCAGTTTGCCATTTACTTTTGTCATGATCATACAATACAACACATTGTACAATTTCAGTCTTTTGAGATGTTCAGTTAAAGCTCTTATTGGTTATATTAAAATATACATTTATTTTTGTGTTGCCTCCCTTAGGCTAGGACAAATAACTCTATAAACAGTTCTTCAGTAATATGTTGAATTTTAAATGCATATATTGGAGTTCCCAGGGAAACAGAGTGAGGCAAAATGAGAGTGCATTAACTTAGTAGAATAGATACCCTTCATTTATTGATAAAATAGGTACGCAATGTAAAACTTTTTACATTTGATTTTTGGAATGTACTACATTGGAGATTAGGATTTTGATGGTTCAGCACAATTATATGCCCGTTATGTCCCAGATGTGCTGCGTCTGTGAATTAACTGGAACCTTTCAAAGGGGAAATAATATGTTAACTGGTGTAGCTCAGGGTTTCAGAGGCAGCCTGCTATGGAAATAATACTCAGTGTGCTTGGTTGAGCATATCATCTGGCAAGCCACTTAGCTTCCCTGTTTGTGTTTCTGTATGTAAAATACAAGTAAGGACAGTTTTTGTATCCGCTTTTATATTAGGAAGTTTCAAATGAAGGGAGTGCAAAGAAGACCTATGCGGCCAATATATTTAATTGCATGTTCTAGATACTGCATTACATGTTTAATTTTTAAAATGTGATATACACTTAAGATTTTTCTTAACAAGATTAACAAGTGGGAAAATTTATTAATATCAGCCACTGAATTCATAGATAAAAGGAGCAGGGTCCTGAACAGTTCCATACGGGTAAAATTTTATTTGATTTTTTCAAATGCACATTTAAAATGAGGGATGCAAAGGACATTCCTTAATCTGGCAATAGGGGAAAAGGAAAGAAACAGAAGAGAAGAAGAAAGAAAGGAAGGAGGGAGAATGCGAGGAAGGAGTGAGAAAAAAGAAAAGAAAGTAAAATAAACAGAAAGACAGGGCAAACATTTTCACATAGAAATGGTGGTGATATGCTTTTAAAAATCATCAGTTACCAGAGTAAGTCCAAAATTTCATCATTATGAGGTTTTTTTTTACTGGATGTCTGAACCAGCCCCATATGAAACCCATACATGAAATTATATTAATATTTTTCAGAGTAAAAGAAAATTCCATATTGTCTATAGACATATATATTTTATAAAATATAATATGGTGGCTGACTTTAATATCAGTGTACCAGTTAAAAATTCAAATGCATTTCTGTAAATTAGAAGTATGTGAAAACTTTTCCTGATAATCAGATATCAGACAGGAGAACGGAGACACTCTACAGTGTTCTGGGATAAAAAACGACACGAGGTGTACTGGATAGGAATGTACAAAAGATAAATCTAAGAACAAAAGTGGACGATACAAAAAGAGAACAGAGTCGCATAAAGGGAGAGACATGTCAGCCTGATGGCTAGGAAGGCCGGGAATCCTCAGGATAGGCAGTTCCCTCTCCATTCATGCCAGAATCAAAGAAAATGCAATCCAAACTCGTTGCAACCGAGAGTATACTATGGAATTGTCATGCAGATACTCACATGTTCGTAGAAGAACAAAAGACAAAGAACAGGAAAGTTGCATTTGGGCCTGAGGAACAAGGATTACAGACGTTTCTTCGGAGACATCATGTCCTGCAATGGACTGACAAAACATAAAAACAAAAACAAACAAAAACCAAAAAAACTTAAGGCAGTGTAGAGCTAGCAGAGAAATTGAGAGATTTATCCCTGGAACAGAAAATAGAGCTGAAAGACAGACTCAAACCAGATGGAGCACTGTGTTCCCAGACATGGGGCAGTGTTCTCTGAAGGTTGCATACTGTGCTAGGTATGGTGATGCACTCCTGAAATCACAGCTTTTGGAAAGAGGAGAATCACTTCAAGTTCAGGGCAACTTGGTCTACATAGTGAGACTCTGTCCCAAACAAAACAAACAACCAAATCAAATTGCATGCTGAAGTTTGAAAAGATACATTGACAGGTGGGTATGTTAAAAATGCATGCACCTAACATTTTATATCCAAAAGGAGGCAATTCTGGGAAACTTGCCAAGGGATCACAAAGCTCAACCTCACTACTTTTCCTAAGTGAGCACAAATGAGCAGTACATGGCAGGAGGGCAGTCCCCAGCCCTGCAGTATTATGGGTGCAAGTGAGTCTCAAAGTGCATTGTTAGTGGGTAGTTCCAGTAGTTTGTGACCAGCCTGGTAAAACAGCGGGTGGGAGAAGGAAGTAGATTGTCCTTGAGGATTCAACTGATTGATTCTGACCTGTGAGAATCTGGGGTAGCCACAGGCTGACATCGGATTATGATCTTCATATTCTGCACCTCTTCTCCTTCCTTCATTCTGTCCTTTCTGGGTGGCCAATTTCTTCCCCCTTCTGCTATTTAAGTGGTAGGGAAGAAAATCCCAGTGACTTTGGAGATCTTTTCTGTCTCTGCCACTCAGGGGATTTCCTTTATGGAGATCTCTGATCCCTGGACCCCCATGGCAGAGTTCAAATTCCTGCTTTGACTCTTAAGTTGGGAAGAGCAGAATTAATGAACTTCTGGAGGGATTGATCTGCTGCTTGGGGTGAGAGCAGCTGTGCCCGGTGTAACTCTTGAAGTATGGAGAACGATCTGAAGGATTAGGGGGAGGATGTGTGAAAAATCTGAAGGAAAGTTAAGAGGGCATGCTGGCCAGGGTGAGAAAAACTAGTCCACTTAGTCGGGTGTCTATTATTTCTAACAAGGCCTACTATTTCATAGGGTTTCCACAAAAATATTTTGGCCTGAAGAATTATGGGACTAAAAGACGGCTGTGGGGACAATAATAATTGAACAATGTCTAGAGATTTGGGGGAATACTTTTTTTTTGAGACAGAGTCTCTCAGTTACACCAGTTTATAGTTCTGACAATCGTGTCTCATGTCTAAAAGGCTCCAGTTTCTCCTTATCTTCCAGGCTTGTTACCATTTTGGGGGGAGCAGCTACCATAGTGGAATGAATGCTACTTCATTGTGGTTTTGATTTTCATTTCCCCACCGATTATTGCTTCTGAAAATCGTTTCACTTTGCCGTTTGTATGCTGTAAGAAATGCCTGTTTCTGTCCTTTGCTTACATTTCAGTAGGTTTTTGTATTGCTGAATTGTTCATTTTCTTGTTTTGAGATACTGTCTCCCTAGTTAACTCAGGGTGGTGTCAAACTTCCAATCTTCCTGCCTCTGCCTCTTGAGTACTGCGATCAAAACCTTTGCTTATCACCACTGATTCAGAAGAATAATATGATTTTTTTAAAAACGAGAAGCAAGAGGTTAGTGAGTGTAAAGGTGGGATCAAGGTGATAATAAAGATTAAGGCTAAGTGTTAGAATATCCTTAATGGAAAGTTAAGGAAAATATGGGATTCATGAAACTACTGGCTGAGAGCATGGGACATAAAATCCTATGCTGGAAGTGAATGAATGAAGATCATGAGGAAGGCAAATAATGATGCAACAGAATGGTGTGTAGTGATTGTTGAAGATGCAGGACTGTCTATCTCTACCTGAAAATGGATTGTGGGGAGTAAAGGTAAGCAGAAATACTCATTATCAGGACTGTGAAGAGCTTCATACTTGTGGGACTTCTGGGAAGGAGACTATATAAGTAGGGTAGGCAGAGTTGAGAAAACCCTAGGGAAATAAGGGAGTGAAAACTCATTCCAGCAGTGAGCAGAATAGAGAGAAAAGTCCCAGTCACTGAAGATGTTGCTTTCTAGGGACAGAGTAAGTAACCTGCAGATGGGGGAATCCAGGTGCTTTTCTGACCTCCACTCCTGACCCTAAAGCTATGGAACACAAACCCACACCTGCTGTACCCTGCTGCTCTTATGATTCCACATGTAACAGTGAACGTGAAACTGGAATTCCCTGGGGTAAAGGATTGATTCCAAAAGACCTATAGGCCACTCTGACAACTTCTACAACCATTGAATCACTATCCAAATTAGGGATTAAAAGGCATTTCTGTCTCTTCCAGTCCCACAAATGTCACAGTTGCACTTGTGAGTATCATGTTTGTCAAGGTAAGGATCAGGCCTTTTGCACATTACTAACCTTGGTCCTTCAATCTTTCATGTTAGGGAAAAACATGGGCCCTCGCATGCTGTGAGGGGCTCAAAGAAGGAGCAGGGACCAAGGCTGAAGAGGCATCTGGACCGAGGACTGATAAAAAATATGGCTGTTGCCCCTAAATTCTACAAGCATGGCAAGAAGTTGACTGTTGAAGCAGAAAACCGAAGTGAGTGTCTTTGGCTGGCAAGAGAAGCTGAATTTATGTGGAGAGAACATTAGTAATTCTGTCAGTATCCCTGTCTTAAAATTGCTTGTGACTGTTGGCATTCACTCATCAAATCAATGTTAGGAATCAAATGCTTTGGAGAAATGTCCAAGTCCATTGCTTATATTTCATGTAGGTAGACTTTTGTTGTTTAGTGTTAAGTTTGTTGTTTTGAGATACTGCCTTGCTAGTTAGCCCAAAGTGTTATCATACCTCTGATCCTCCTGTATCAGTCTCCCTAGTGGCCATTCACTAGAAAAAGAAAGCCATCCCAGAGCTGGGGAAGATCCATAGTGTGACAAAGCTTCCAAGTGGGGCTGGAATATTTGGAACGATGGTGACAGTGAAGTTATCTAAGCTGTGCCTCGTGTTTTACAGATGGGAAGGAGAAGAGCACTGAACACAAGAGTGACGCCAGGTCCCACAAAGCACCACAGGAGGTAAGGAGACTCTGTTGCTTATGGGAGGTGCTTCCAGAAGCTACTTCCCAGGCCCTGTGTACTGTGTCCTAATGACATTTGTTCCATCCCCAAATCTACCATGACTTACCATGTGACATTGGGATTAACTACATCTTCCTGGATTTTAGTATGAACTGAAAATGAAAGGTAAGCCTCGATGATCTTCAAGGTCTTCAAGTTCTGACATTCTGGGTTGCTGTGCTCATCCTACAACATATTCATTTCTCCTCTTTTCATGGTTGGCCTGGTACCCAAATTCCTACTATTGTCTCTACTCCAGCAGGGAAATTCTCAAGGAACTCTGATGCGTAGCCAGGTGATGAGAGAACATTCAGTTCTGCCCTATGCTCCTGCGACCTTGGAGCAGAAACCAGTGATTTCTTTTTCCCGGGTCTCTCGTGGTCTCTCTGCCAGGCCCAAAAGGTGAGTTGAATAAGGACCTAAAACCAGTCATATCACATGTTTCATGTTCAACACTGTGGTTGCTGCCGTGGGAGGTAGGCAAACAAGAAAGGAGAAAGAGGAGAGGAAGAAGAAATGTAGTAGCAGGAGAGGAAGAGGAGGAGGAAGAGAAGAAGGCAGCACCTCAGAAGGAGGGGTGAAGAGGGAACACTGAGGCTTGAGAACTCCTAATCTTGAGGATTCAGATAAGTGATTTCCTCTTTCCATGAATATGTTTTCCAATAGCCAAGTCTGGGAAAACAGTTTATATTTATAACATTGACAAGAGAGCTAGAAGAAAGCATACCACACAGTCAGCCTTCAATATGCCTGGGCTGTTACTCCATATTACAGTAGATGGACGTGAGAGAAAGTTATATTGGAATTGGGGGTCATGTTGGGAAGGACCCTAGAGACCCAGAGGAATGCTGAAGGCGGCAGACAAAACTTCCTAGGGAAGGGCCTGGTTTGTCCTTCATTGTGGAGTTTTTCTTCCTTTCTCAGTTAGTTTTGGGGCGGGGGAGGGGAATAGAATCACAATGAGTTTCCCAGGAAGCAGACTCCACAGATCAGCATTGAAGTGAAGATCTGGTTTAATGTGTATGTTCACTGGCACATACACATACATTAACCTATCAGCTAAAATCATATTGAGTTACTTCCCAATGAGTTCAAATAGCACACAACTCGAGTTATGTGAGGGCATATGGGGTGGGTAGTATGTCCAGGCAGTGTTTTTGTAGACAAAGGGCATGAAGCAGGCAACTCCCTGGGCTTAGATGCCAAATTATAGGGTCTCCAGTTAGCTGGAACTCCATTATGTTCCAGAAACTCAAGTCTGTTCAAACAGCCACAGGAGGTGTTGGCATGCACTTCTAGTGTTCCCTGTTGTTTAGTGACACCATCTGAACAGAGACTGACCCCTCACTTCATAAACAGTGGGGATTGGGCAAAATGGAAACAAGGGTCAGTCCCTGAAAAAGGAGGGACTCACATCTTTCCACCTACTTTGCAGATTAGAGCACAGCCATTTTGGATTCATCTTCATTATAGCCCTGGGAAGAAAGATCTGGTATAAATTGGTGTTTCAAGAAAATATATAGAAGTTTCTAAAGGAAACAGGCCAAGAAGGCACCTAGGTCAAAAGGACTAACATTTTCGGCTCATTCAGATTTCCCCACCCTGGTTTGCAAACCCCTGGTCCTCCAAAGTGTTCTGGTAGTAGGTTTCCACCAGAGGGTTTAATCCCCTGGCTCTCCTCTCCTTGTTTCCAGATTCTCAAGTGTGATCCTGCAACCCCGTGCTACCCCTGGCCCTCTTCTACTGCAGCCACAGGTCCTGGCAAAGTAGTGGGGTCCAGGTCCCCGGGAGGGAATGAGCATAGTGGATGGGAAGAGCAAAAAGCCTTAGGGTTGGGGGTTGGTGCTAGAGGGAACTGGGCACTTAAAGGGGCACCTGTGCTGGTGGGAGGTGGCATGGTTTCCCAACTGCAATTATATAATGCCATTTCCTTTGCAGGTCCCCAATGCCACCAAACAGGATTCTGTTGTTGCTGCCTTAGAGTGGCAGAGAAAGCTGGAGGCTGCTGAGGCTCTGTTGGCCCTGAAAAACTCTTGTCAGCTTCCTCCTGATTCTGCCTCTCTTCAACAGCATGGCAGCATGCCAGGTAATTGTCTTCTTCAAGATGGAACATGGGGTGGGGGGGAGTTGGGAAGTTGGAGGGGTTGTGGTAAATTGGTTGTGCCTGGGAACCTGGATTTTGGACTGCCTTGGATCCCACACTTCAGTTCCTCAGTCTGGTGTGAGAGATGTTACTCTGGGGCTTCTCAGTGAATCTTCAATTCTCAAGTGTCTTTAGCTCAACAGCAAACGCTGGAACCTGAATTAAAAAAACCCACCACCAACACAGCAACAACAAAAGACCCCTGTAGACTGAGGCCCCCCCCAACGCGGCCGTGTCTTACTGGAGCATATCAAATGGAAGAAATAGAACTAGGTATAGTGACTCTCAGCCCAGGGCAATGTCTGCAGTCCACCATAGACTGGGGGAGGCCCACTGGGAGGTCGTGCACAGGGGAAAAGAGTCTGGAATGGAACAAGATCATGCAGACAACTCCAGTGCTTTCCATGTAGATGTGAAGCCTGGATGCTTCCCAGCCTGAATATTTCCAGTCACTTTCAGTGCTCCATGCAGTCATGAGCTCAGAGGAGAATTACATAGTTGGGGAGGCTAGAAGGGAAGGCTGATCCCTGATGAGAAAACAACAAAAACCTTGATGAAGTGTGTTAGTGGGAAGCCACTTTGGGTGGTAGACATACTGGAAAAAGGGTGATGAATGAAGCCGGGGACCTTGCTTCTCACAGAGGTCTGGCAGCGTGGGTGATGCAGACTGGGCCAGCAAATCTGGGGGAGGAGTTGGAGGAAATCTAGCACTTCCCCCGACACAGTGAGGATCATATGTATAGACCCCAGATTTGACTGAAAGGATGTGGCTGTGGCTGAGAAGCAGTGGAGCCAAGACCTTAAGGGAGTGTACATGTTTCTTGTTTCAGTGAGAAATCTTAGATTGGGTGGGACACCAAAGTGTGAGGGTTTCCCTGGGTGGTGGCATGTATATAATCTGACTCTGGTTTTTGCTTTTCTTTTCAGGTCCTGCTGGAGAGCGAGAACTGCAACCTAGTCCCTACCTGCCACCACAGCCTGCCAGCTCTGTGTCACTTACTGGACATCTGGAGTGCATGTCCTTCTTGACCTAAGAGCCCAGAGTGGGAGGCCTAACTAGAGCACTGCCTGTTTGGTATCCTGTTTTATGTCTAAAATAACTAACATTTTTAAATTTTTTATTTTTAAAGTAAGTTCTCATATAGCCGGCCTGGCCTTGGACTCAGTATATAGTTGACGATGACTTTGAACTCCTGATTCTTCTGCCTCCACCTCCCAAGTGCTGGGATTACAGGCATGTACCATCATGCCTGTCTTTTTTTTAAATTATTATTATTTTAAGTTTTCAGGAGTTTTATAAGCATTCAGACCCCTTTTTTATGACATGAGGCATTTACTTGACTGAAATTTGATGTTGCCCCTCTATCCATTAGTCCTTTGGAATAATTGCTGTTAATGTTTCTTAGAAAAACAGTATTGTGTGATCTGATGTGATCAACCAATGGGATTCTGAGTGGCTTTGTATGCCAGTGTTTTCATTTGTCCTGTGATTGTATATACACTGGCAGACTCCTGTATGTAATCATCCATGTGGAATCATGAAGTTTTTTCACTCTGTGTCTAGGCATATGTGTGTGTGAACAAATAATAAACATGTACTGTAGGCATTGAAAACTATGAGTTGTTGTTTTAAAACAGTATAAGACAAATATCAAGGAAGATTGTTTACCTGCACCAAGTCCCAAGTTAACAAATCAGTTATTTAAATTAATGATTGAGTGAAAATTTCAAGCCTTGATGCAGCAGACATCAGTCAGAAGGTCTTCTCAAAAGTACCCCTTATTTGCTACCCAGGGTAACACACTGAGTAACTGATAGGAACATTTTTAAAGTTTGAATATTCTAAATCTTTGATCGATGTTCCAAACACATGAACTGCAGGCCTCACCAGGCAGACAGCTAGCTAACTGAACATAGCTTCATCTGGATTTTTACTTGTATTTTTACTTCCTTTCTTCACTGCCTTATTTAAAATATCAGTGTCTCACTATGTATTACGGACTGGCCTTGAATTCACAGTGTACCTCAGGCTGGCCTCCACAGCTCTGGTGGTAATCTTCCTGCCTCAGCCTCTCAAGTGCTAAGATTATAAGTCTGTTTCACCATGTCTGGCTTCCTGCTTGTATTTTTAATAACATCTGTTTGATGATGATATCCAACTACTACAATTCTTTTGTCTTCTGACACTGTGAAAAGTCAGGATTCTTATATTCTCTATCTGATGGCAGAGAAACAAACACATAAAATTAATGAGAATTTGGAGAATAAAGCTGGGCTGAAGTCCATCTCATACCTTCTTTCTTCCCATGATCCCAAAGTGGCACGAATATAGCCCCATGTTCCTGCAGTAGTTTTTGGTCAAAGCCTCACTTGGTTCCACATTTGAGTTAGGTAAAGGTGGAAATATATTTTGGTAGAAGGATGTGGCACAAGAAGAGGGAAGCCAACAGAAATAACAAAATAGACATTTGAGGAAGGAAATAGACTAACTTCCTTGGGCCCTTTCATTTTTGTGAGGCCTTTGTGTTGGGGATTTTCATACCTAACACTCTCCCCTCCCACTGTTCTATAATGCAAGAGTCTCTATCTGGAATATTTTAGTTCTCTTTGGATATCTATGTCAATGTTCAGTGTTAAGCTTTTTGGTATGTCTCCCTTTGTCATGTACTGTCATAGTTCCCATTTTAAAACCCTCACCTCTGCTATATTTTCATTCTCATATGTTATATGACATCATTGGTCAGGTCTGAACTTATCCATCATTTCAGAGCATCTCTAGAGTGGGTTAATTTGAACAAGAAATGTTAAGGTAAAAGAATCTATGCTGTTATACAGGCCAAGCACAGGCTTTCTAAGGGAAGGGGCATTTAAGGGGAATTCTCTGTGTTGGCTCATTTACTGAATTCACAGTATCAAAATGTCAATGAACTCCCAAGTCGGAGATATTTTTTCAGATTAGTACTTTAAGTTACCATTTGAACGTGAACAATAGTGAGATATTGAAAAATAATTAGAGATTGATGTATTTTAACTGCACATTACATTTCTTCATTTACAGTATAGTGGATATAGTGAGTTTATGAATTTTTTTATTATAGTAATTGCTTGTATTTAGGAGTGGTTCTCAGTTGCCTGACAATTTAGCAATTAACTGTTATGGTTCAGGAAGAGCCAGTCCCAGAAGTCCAGTGCTTTCCATCTTTTTCCAAGAAGACTATTCAAAGTAGATCCAATTAGCATTGTATTGCCATAAGGATGAAGAGCATATTAAAACCTTTGGGGAAGTAGTATTTTAATATCAAAGGATTTTTGAAAATGTTAAGCAGAGCGTACTATCAAAATCATTTATGTTGAAATGCACATTAGTGTACAGAGACAAATGTTGCTATGTGATTAGTTACAATAGAAATAAATGTCTTTATTTTAGACTGGTTTAGAACTACATCAGGGTCGAAGGCTAAGGATCACAGTAACTCACCAAACCTCCATACTATCTTTGTGAGACAAGATACCACTGTTTTTGTGTCACAGTGATATTGATACATTTTGTAGTTTCAGTAAATCTAACAATCCCTGCCTATTATCCAACTGACAAAATCAATTTCACATGGTTTCTAAATAGGCAAAGACTTAAAAGTGTTTACCTAGTGAATGTGAGGAGCATAAAACAGACTGAGATATGTAGCAGCAAGATATGTGAATTAACACTACATTACATGCATCAGTGCGCAGTTCATAAGAACACAAATGGCATCAGAGACATGAAACCCCTGAGACACTTGCACACTCCTGAGTGGAGGATGGCAATGTGAATAAAAGGAGATCAATGAGTAACTGGAGAGAGGACCCTTGAAGAGATGCAGAGATGCAGAGGACACTGCTGAAAATCAAGAATTGGCTTCAATTCAATTTTCAAGCCATGGAATCTAATAAAGCAGGCAACAGAAAATTTTGAATTGGATTTCTTCATCCAGAATTAGTAGATCATGTAATTCAGATCTTTCCCAGTGACATAACCCACACATGAAGACACTGACATTTCTTGAATTGCCAGACAGATGGTGAGAAGCCCCAAGGCCAAGATTTTACAGAGGCAAAATCAAATGTCAGTCTCATATTAGGTATTTGATGTTTTCCAAGTTGGAATCAGAAAGCAGAGTGTCTGGTAGGGCTTCTTGCACTCTTTTGAGGCCAGCAAAACAAAGAAATGATCCCAAGTCTACTGAGGGTGATGGCCTATGATCCTCTGTACAGTGGGGAGCAGGAAGGGACATGGCCCAATCATTGGAGCAGCACTGAGAATCTCAGTGGTTCTTAAAAACTAACTGACAAGTGATTGTGGGGAGGACTGCTACCCTAAATCTGCAAGAAGAAGCAGCTTAACAGGTTCCCTAGGAGGATTGAAAAAGCCAGCAAAAAATTTAATAGCACTTACAAGTGAGTTCTGTTTTCTTTTGCTACTCCTCATTCAAGAACTTCTGCAGTTGACACTCGAAAAATCTATAGCAGAAATTCTCATTGCAAATTAAAAATTCAATTTGTAAAAACTTTAACTTGCCCAGGTCTGAAACAATCTTGAAACCATAAAGATATGTTCAGAAAAAAACTAGACTTAATAGCTTTAGGCCAAAAGTATAAAAAGCTCATGATGAATAGATAATTCACGTAGCTCGAAATATCTGCTAAATTGGTAAAAATCAAGCCCATCAGGTCTTCAACTCTGTTCTGTAGTTCATTTCCTATCACTGAAATTTCATACTCATGTCTAGGTGAATTACCTAGCTGCAGGAAGGTAGAGATGGTAACGCAGAATTTCCTCAGCTTCCTTTTCTTCTCCATTACTATCATCTCCAGACTCTTTGTGATTGTGCAGTAATAGTCTGTAACCCTGATGCATATCCTGCCTCACTGGTCTCCCTCATTGTCTTGAACCCTGTTTGTCAGCATCTTCCACTGCATCAGAGGGCTGGAATCCCATGGTTGATACTCATAGGGTCAGCACACACAGTAAGTGTTAGCTCTTATCTTTGGTGGGGATAACATTGTTGGGCCTGTTATCTTGTTATTTTCTTCACTCACTATTCCAGTAATTCTGCAGATCATTGTGAGGAGTATCTCTATGATACAGAGCACATCCGAGATGCTTAATATCCAATCCATATGAATGCCTTGAAATGAAATTCCACAAAGGCCTGAAACACCTGCTGTTTCCAAATTCTGCTCTTTCAGTGATGTAAGACTTAATCGCCTTTCCAATTCTACACCAAGAAGGTGGTGCTTTGGTTTGCTTGTGTGTGTGTGTGTATGTTTTACACATGTGTGTGAGTATACTTACCTCTTTATGTGCTGTATGCAAGTGTGTGGGTGTTCTTGCTTGTGTATGTTTGCATGAGTGTGTGGGTGTGTGTGTATGTAGGCCAGGGAGTAATAGTGTGTGTTTTCTTCTATCATTCTCTACCTTAAAATTATTTTTCTGGGTGGTGGTAGTGCACACTTTTAGTCCCAGAACCGGGAGGTAGAAGCAAGCAGATCTCTGTGAGTTTAAGGCCAACCTGGTCTACACAATGAGTTCCAGGATAACCAGGACTGTTACACAGAGCAACCCATCTAAAAAAACACCAAAAAATATTTTATGTGTATGAATTGTGCCTCCTTGTATGTATACAGCACATGTGTGCCTGGTACCCATGGAAGTCAGAAGAGGGGGTAGGATCTCTGGAAGTGGAGTTTTGAATGTTATGAGCTACTGTGCTAGGAACATAACCTGGGTCATCTGCAAGAGCAGACTTAACTATCTCCAGCTCCTCCACCTTTTTTGAGACAGACTCTCACTAAAGCTTGAGCTTTCCATCAAGGCCACATTAGTTGATCAGTAAGCCCCCAGTATTCATCTGTCTCTACCATTAGCCCTAGGGTTACAGACTTATGCCATGGTTTTTGGATTCTACATCTGTACTGGGAATCTGAACTCGGGTCTTCATGCTTGTGCAGCAACATCTCCATCCTATAAGCCATCTCCACAGCCCTAGGTTAGGGCACGTGATATACAAATTCATTCCTGTTCTTCAAAACATCTAATTTTCAACATTGGCATTTAGTATAATGGGCCAATGAACTGAGCAGACAGTTCTCAAAAGAAACATGTGACCGATAAGTATCTTAAAAGTGTTCAACATCCAAAACCATCGGAGAAATACAAATTAACACTACTTTGAATTTTTATTTCAACTCAGTGAGAATGGTTATAATGAAGAAAAAAGTAACAACAAATTCTGGTGAGTTTGTGGGTAAAGGGGAATCCTTCCTATTAGTGGAAGTATAAAATTGGTGCAGTCACTATGGGAATCAGTGTGGAGGTTTCTCAAAGAGATAAAAGCAGAAGTTCATATACTCCAACTGTGTCACTTCTGGGTGTGTATCCACTATCTCTTATCACTGAGACATTTCACATCGATGCTCATTGCTGTTCTATTCCACAATAGTGAGGAAATAGAATCAGTGTAGATGGCCAACAACAGATGAATGGATAATGAAAATATGGTACACAAACACATAATTGGGTTTTATTCAGCCACAAAGAAAAATAAAATTTACAGGAAAATGGATAGAATTGG